ACTTTAAAAATAATTAAATTATTATACTGTTAGCATTATTTTTAACTTACGTAGAAAAAAACTGAACCGTATCAACTCATTAAAAGAGGAACAATATATGCAAAATCTATCGAAAATACGAACGATTACGATTTAAGCAAATAGCAGTTTAATAATTGCTTATTTTATTACTCGATTCGCGTTTCAGATGTTCTTTCAGTTTATCTGTGTTTCATGATCCTATTCCTGCACTCAAGCGTTCAATCAATTACTGGCTATATGAGAACTGTACACAGTTCAGGTAATGTTGCGTGCATAATAGTTTTTAAATGACCATATAAAGCTATCATATAGTTTTTCAACCATATAAAGTAATCTTTTAGCGGTAATTCACAATGCATTTTGGTGACCAAATATATATTCTATTCTGCCAGATGCTTATTTAATAGAGATTCTGGTAAATAAGTTACTGATTGTAAATTCTATAAAATGCAAAATAAAATTTTAGTTTTTATTTTCTATTAATAATATTTTTCGATCTTGACCTGATTTTGAAATGTGGGGTCAAATTCTTGCTGCTGAAAAAAATTAGGTCTCATTTAAGGTAAAATCGTCTGCTACCTGTCCTGATCGTTTGAAAAAAATTTAGACGATAATGAATAACAGCTGAAGGTTCGGCTAACTTTCAAGAAAAAGAAAATACGGCTTGTTTTAGTTTTAAACTCGATCAAAAGCGTTTTTTAAATAATCTAAATAACATCTAAACGTTTCCTTTGTGCTTTTCTTCGATATTTTAGGATCTTATTTGAAGTTATCTCTTAACCATAATTTATATTTTGGTGACCAAATGTACATTCTACTCTGCGAGATGTTTCCATAATTATGTTCTGGTTAATCTAGGAAGTGATTGAAAATTCTGCAAACTGCAAAATAAGATTTCAGTTTTTACTTTTTTTAATTAAGTTTTTTTTTCATTTATTCTTCTTCTCGTCCTTGCCCTGATTATCTAGCCTTAGGTCAAATTCTTGCTGCTAAAAGTTAAAATCGTCTTCTGTCTGTCCAGATCGTCAGGAAAAAAACCAGACGATCATGAATATTAGTTAATGGTTCCGCTATCTGTCAATAAAAAGAAAACTTTACAGTTCACTTAACAAGTTTTAAAGGCAGCCGAATGCTTTTGTGTTTTTTAAATTTTTTTTGAAATAACCTAAATAGTATCTAAACATTTTATTCTTTCTTTTCTTCTGATATGAAAGCATGGATTTAGATTGCTTCTTTTTAGATTGCTCCATGCTTCTTTTATAACTATGAAAGATTCAAAACTTTTCAAAGGTTTCTGCATTGAATATACACACATATATATAAATTCAATGCATTTTATTTAATGTTATGACTTTAAAACTTATAAAAAACAAACACAAAGTGCGTCCAAAAAGAATTAAAATTAGTCAAATATCTTGAAGAATCAGACAAAAGGTGGGACGGAATAAAATTTTTTTATCATTCATTACCTAATTTATCAAACATAACTGTTTATTTCGATCTCCATTTCTCGAAGTATCTCAATTTTTAACAATTTTTACCACATTTAATTCTGCAATTATAGCGCCATAAGTTATAATTGTCATATTCTATCATTTTCCAGAAGAGAACTATGTAAATGTAAAAATGACTTTGAATTTGAGGAAAAAATCGTATTATTGTGAAATAATTTGGCTAGCACTGTTTTTATGAATTTTGGGTTTTGATTTTATTTACACGCAGTCCGTGTTTTGTTCAAACTCAGGTTAACAATCAAGTTATTTTGACTCTTTTATGTATTAATGAGGCAGTGTAAAAAAAATGTCTGAAACGCGCAGTAGCAAACAAGTTTTTAAACATAAGAATAATATATTTTTTTTAATATAATTATTAAAAAGGAAGGCAGTAAAAAAATTATTTTTATAAAAATAGTCTTACAGAAATTATTTTTTATTGATTTTAAATAAAATAGAAACTAAGAGGAAAATGCATTTAATGTAAATCTAAATGGCAGATGAAGCAATAAAACTAAATGCATAAAAAATGCAATAAAATAAAAACAGAAATAACTGGAAGTTGCAAGCACAAATAATTTTTATATTTCGAAGAAAAATAATAAAAAAAAAACATTGTTCGCTGAAATGATATGAAAAGAGTGGTAAAATATACGAATATTAGCATCGGGCAATCTAATCTAGGTCAAACAAATTCAATAAATTCGGTCAGTTAACTGTAAAAACCATGTTTTCGCGATAAGAGAAAAAAATTAGAATTATATGCCGACTTTGACAGAGAGATCATTGCCACGGACAGAATTAAGTTTCTTACATTTGCCCTTGACCCCTACGCTTACTTAATGCCAAGAATCTAGACTTGACCTGGAAGCTAGATCATTTTTTTCTCCTATTCCGGAAATTCTTATTTCCTAATAATAACCTAATAGAGCTAACAAAGTTATTCAATTCTTGATACAGTTTTTCTTTATTCTTATTATAATGATTTAATTATTACATTTCGCATGCCGCGGGTAATTTTCACAACATGGTATGAAATGTATGGCGTTAATTATTACTCATTTGAATATAATTAGCATGGAAAAAATGCAAGATATTTAAAATAACACTAATAAAATGAAGCATAATTGCTAATTACTTACAGGAAGTAACTAGTGCACAAGGTCATTTGTTTATTGATATGCTATTAGTAGTATTAGTTGATAATGCATAATACTTATCGATCATTGTACCGGTAATGTGTAATGAGAAGAATAACAGTATTGTTTGAAACAGGAAAAAAGGCCAATCCATTTAAAAAGAAAACATTGGAAAGATATACATGTTTTAAGAATCTAAATTCCTACTAATCTAAATCTAAAATCAGACTCTTACATCTAAATTCAATCTAAATTCAAACTTTTTTTAAAGTGAAACAAGTTTGATCACAGGAATCATTCTCAGATAACAAAAATTATTATTTCTAACAAGGTAATTTTAGTTTTTCTTAAAGAATGTTTAATTTTTACCACATGTGATGAAATGTTTGACATTAATTATTACTCATTTGAATATAATTGGCATAGAAGAAAAGTAGGATGTTGAAAAAAATACTTATAAAATGAAGCATAGTTGTTAATTATTTACAAGAAGTAACTAGTGCACAATGTCGTTTGCTTATTTATATGCTATTAGTAGTATTAGTTGATAACGCATAATATTTATCGGTCATTGTACCGGTAATGTGTAATGAGAAAAATAACAGTCTTGTTTGAAACAGGAAAAAAGGCCAATCCATTTAAAAAGAAAACATTGGAAAAATATACATGTTTTAAAAATCTAGATCCATACTTTAAACTCCTTTCAAAGTAAAACACGTTTGGCCACAGGAATTATTCTTTGGTAACAAAAATTATTAGTTCCAACAAGGTAATTTTAAGTTTTTCTTAAAGAATAATTAAATTTTAATGAAAATAAACTTTAATAATTTTCGCAATTTTCGTTTATATAATATTTTGCTTGAGCCGAATGTTTATTAGTTAAAAATTTGTTTCATGAAAATAATAATAATGAATTTAAAGTTTTCACATTCAAATTTATGCCTCCTTTTCAGTAAGTCCTCTCCTTACCTCTTGGCACGCCACAGATTAAATTCCTGTTTAATATTAAAAATGTTTCTTTATTACCAACTTGAGAAACTTTATTACCAACATAACAAATTTTAAGGAGTTAGTTTCGAACGAAAGAGGCAGCTAGTTTTCTCTTATTTTAATAATAATAAGCAGATAAAATAACATAAAAAATAAACGGATTGAATGATTTTTTGAATCCAAGTTGAACCATAATATCGTGTAATCATCTAACGTTTAACACGTCAACAGAATTTGTAACAATGTAGCTCCTTTTTGAACGAAATATTTAAAAAAAATTGAAATTGATATTTTTAAGAGAGTTCTTTGCAAAAAAGGCTGGTTTATGATTTAAAAAAAGCAATGTAGCTTTATGAAAGGAGTTGCAAATAAGGAAACCAAAGTAAAGCTTAAAAATAAAATTTTTGGATGAATTCTATGTTAAAAAAAATCTGATTCACTGCAGAATCTAGATTATGCATTGCTTTGTAAATTTCAACTATACCTGCTCAGAGGGACGAGTTTCTAAAATTCTTCCTTCCGTAATTTTATTACGATTGAATTAAACTTACAGAAAAAATTCTTAGTATGTTGTAATATTGGGTAAAAAATGTATTTTTTGATATTTTAAAGTCCATGTAACAATTTTTTTTGTTGAAGCTCAAAGCTGAGGCGTGATTTTTCAATCCAGCGACCTTTAACGACCTGTTTGGCATTTTTTAAATAAAATAAAACTTGATTCTTGACTTTTTTTTTAGTTCAAGTAACAAATTTTAAAAGAAATAAAAGATTGTATTATAATTGGGACCAGCTACAGCTAAGAGGAAAATATTTAGAAAAGAGAGAGAGAGAGAGTCGTTAAAGGTCGCTGGATTGTAAATCTGCAGCTGGTACTGTTGAATTGAAGACTATTTCGTAGAATTCAGGAAAAGTTTTGATACCGGATAGTTAAAGGTTAAGTCCTACAAATTAAAAGAAAAAAACAAAATTGATCGTATATGTACCAAAAAATGGACAAATAGTTATAATTATGGGGACCTTTAAGCGAAACATCATAACAAAGTAATAACCAAAGCAAAATACTACAAATGTAATTAAAAAGGTAATGCAAGTATAATATTAATGCTTTTCCAACATTCTATGAAAATTTCAATACAATATGAGTCGGATTTGGGATTTTAGAAAAGTCTTTAGTCGAATATTCCAAAAACCGTCTGCAAGTTCTTGAAATACTATATCTTCTAATCAGTGCTGTTCTATATCCGTTTTATATATTGGTTATTAAGTTGCTTGTAATTAATTACGTCTTAGATTAATTCTGTTATGTATACTATTAAGAATTTGAGCATAAAATCTAAATAAAAAGAATTGCACTTACCTGGTCTCACTTTATAAATGTCTGGATGAGCATAACCAAAGCTTAGACACACAAAGAAAATGAAACATTTGAGTCCATTGAAAGCGGCTGCTTCAAAATACCACCTCACCATTATTGCACTGTTAGAAGTAGTCTTGTCGCTACTTCAATTAAAAATAAATGGATTTAAATATACTTCAAAGTCACCCTTGGCGTTCATCGGGAGATGATGTGTATATTTAATTCTGTCTGAAACAGATGACAGAGAAAACCAAATCAAGGTCACATGTTTCTCAGGGAATCTGAAATGTTAAATTATATACTTTACATGACATAAATGACGTAATAAAAAATATATAAAATAATTATTATTTATTTCGGGGAACAGTTAATCATTTTTTAAAAAATTTTGTTATTATAAGTTTAGTTATTTGTTATTGTAGATATACATATGATATACAAGATAACATATTTTATTTTAATATTGGCGTTGAACTCTTAATTCACATCGGATTTGCGGCTATATAAATGCTCAAGCCCGTAGCCTTGTAATTTTAAACCGAACCCAGAAGACAGAGGTATATGTATTGGGAGAAGCTAGACTTCTAGGAAGACTTCATAAATGAAACTTGTAGCCTTGTAATTTTGAACTGAACCCAGAAGACGGAGGAATATTTATTGGGAAAAACTTGTGTTTGAGGAAGACTTCATAAATGAAACTAGTAGCTTTGTAATTTTGAACTGAAACCAGAAGACAGAGGAACACGTTTTGGGAAAAACTTGTGTTTGAGGAAGACTTCATAAACGTAACTAGTAGCCTTGTAATTTTGAACTGAAACCAGAAGACAGTCTACAAGATTCCCTAAAGAAGAATTGAGAATTAAATGATTGGGAATAGGGGAGTTCAACAAGGCTAGGAAATAAAGATGACCCATGAGCAATCTCACAATCATGCCGTTGGTCTTGAGATTGTGGAGCCTCTAACTCCCTAAACGTTTTGGCCGACTTTTGGCTATTGTTGCAATGCTTTGTTTTAATTTTTATCTTATTTTATTCTGATTATATATTTATTTTTTGCTTTTCATACTGCTGTTTATTTCAGCATGATTCTTATTAAAAATGTTTACTTTTAGTTAAGCATATTTTCTAACGAAAAATTTTTTTCCTTCAAAACTTTAATTTTTTTTAAAAATTATATATTTTTTTCTCTATGTATTAAAGTTTTATAAATTGTATTTCTTATTAAAATGAAATAGCCACGGGCATTATATGTACTTTCTCTATACTTAATATAAACCCACCTTTCCTCTCATTACTCGCTGTGAGAGAAATATCTTTACAAATTGCACTTATCCAACCTTCAACATTATTCAATTTTAATTATAACAGCCATTTAATGTGGTTGTATTTTAAAAATTTTAATAATATTTCACTAACTACATTTTTTTTAAAAACTGTCATCGGTTACTTTGTACTGGACCCATCTTTCAGCCTTTCTCGTTTTAGTAGTACTAGTAGACAACCTGAATTTAGTTATTATAGCACAATTCTATTGACTAATTAGCATTTTGATATCCATGCATATCAGTATAGGTAGAACTATAGTATGGATGATTACCCTGAATATGGATTGGAACTCTTGGTATGATGAGGTTAAGACTTATTTCTACTATTTAGGTTATAGTGGGCTTCTTGCGGTGAGGAATTTTTACGTTTTGTACTTCCAGGAAGGCAGTTGTTGCTTACAGGAAGGCAAGTTTCTGAAACACTTGGAAAACAAGTTGGTTGTTTAATTTTAAAGGCCACCATAGACTGGCGACAACGTGGTTAACACAATGAACTGGTCTGCCCAGAGCCATAACCAGAACACTAAGGTGAACCTTAACACTGTAAAATATTATCTGTTTTGCTTCCATATGTTTGACGGTTTAAAACTGTGTTTTTGACAAAACGTTTTTCACCCTAATTATAAACGGATTGAATTTTACTTTTTGCCACGCGCTTTTTATTACTGTTCGATAACTTCACCTTTCCTCAAATCATTTTACGATTTTTTTTCTGTACTTTCTCTTCTGCAATTGTTTTATGGTTTTGAACATGGTACATATAAGGCTGTGATTATTGCTATATTGTTTTTGTACCTGATTATTTTCTTTCTTTAGATACAATTATTTGGTAAGTTTAGTGGCCAGACATTTTTGTAAAGGTGGGCCACTGTGGTTTTAAACGTTTCTACCCTTAAATATGATTTCAACGTTCAAGACTTTTTATGTAAAGATAGTTTAAGTCTTTTCTTTATAATAAAACACTGAGCCGCGACGCTCTGGGGACAGAACACTCGCTTTCCAACGAAGTGCTCAGGTTCGAATCTCTGCTCCCGACTTGGATAGACACAAAATATCCACATCTGGTGTGAGTACAGATTTTCTTCATAACTTTCACAGAAAAAAACTTTGTGTACCTTTTATGGAGAAAAGTTGATTTTGTATGTAAAAAATCCGTTGGCTACAGATTTACTTAGTAAGTTATACCGTTCTGTACTACCAATCCAGTTGCCAGCTTAAAACTATAAATTTTATGTTTTTTTCTTTTTACTCTCGGGTATGAGTTAGATTGCTGAATTAAGGAATACAACGACATTTCGAAATCGGTTTCTTATCCGCCTTTTTTAATCCGAGTAGAAAAAAATGCAATTAGCCGTCATTCAAGTATTTGTGCAAAGCATACAACGGATAATTGAGATGTAGTTGCCTATCGTGGAAGAACTGACAACTATTAATCATGAAATTTTTTTTTTTAATTACATGTGACTAAATACCTTCATATTTCCGATACTGAGATAATTATACAATTTTAGAATTACTTAAAAGATTTTACATAAGTCATTTTTGTTATCCACAATTTTTTTCGTTATTAATCAGAGTTAAATAGAAAGTCTAAATAGATAGTCTAAATAGATAGTCTAGTCTAAATAGATATTTCGCCTAATAAATGATTCAAACTAAACTTAATTTCTTATTTTATCAGAAAAAGGCCATAACAGTTAAAGGGTAGTTATTGCTCCGGATAAAATTTCCGACTTGCCTTAAAATTCAAGAATGTTTCAATTAAATAAAATCATCATTATAATCATAATTTTTCTTAAAGATAATAATAAATCCTAATTTTTAAAATGCCTCAATATGTAATATTATTTTTAAGTTATTTCGTAAAAATTATTAAAATCCAATTTGCCCTTTTTCGCTTGAAAATAAATTTTTCATAAATTGAACAACATTTTAAGATTAGAGTTAGTAGTTCAAATTCAAATACATAGATTAAAACTGAATGTTTTTAAATTGCGTTTTGCAAACTTTGTATAAAATCTATTGGTTAGAGTAAGAACAGGTTAAAAAGTTAGACTGCCTACCAGCTTGTTGTATGTAAAAGTGCATACTGAGGAGTATGGGATAAATTCTTGAAAATATTTTGAGGATGCAGTGCTTCTATTGACTATTTCCTGTGCTAATATACAAAAATTGCTAATTTGTTTAGCGCAAACTGCATACGAGATATTTAGAAAAAGCAAAAGTGAGAATATAAATGTGAATTTAAATTGTATATTTAAAATATTAAATTAGGTGAAAAATTTTTATTTTCTCAACTAATAAGCTAACTACCCACACTACAAAAAATTTTGGATCAAATTACGGTATAAAGTACCGGCACTCTGAATAAATCATCCGTAAAATTCATTTTTTATCGTAAAATATTATACTTTTATTTTACAGTAATATTTATTTAATGAGAGTGATTCAGTGACTTTACAGTAATAATTATTGCAAAAATTACGGTGCAATAGATTTTGTTTTCGTAACATACTCCAGTAAAAATGGATTTTACGATAAAAAGTACCGGCATCCTGAATGTTAGAACTTTTTCCAATAATTTGATTCGGAATTTTTTACAGTGTAGAACAAGATATGGAGAAGAATCTTAATCGACTACCAAGAACTCATTGTATTAAAAGGACGCAAACTTTATTTTTTGCGTTTAGTATAAAAAATTATACGCAAGAAAAAATTTGGAATGAGTTTTCTGTTATCAAGCTAAGATAACATTAGAATAATTATTTTATTAATATGATATTAAAATCATGTTCAATAAATATAAATTATTATAATCACTTCAGAAAATGAAAGTACACCATCAGAAAAATCGCATTGCACCATAATACGGTACACCATAATACAAACTTGATAACGTACTAAATTGGATCATGTTGTTATTCAAATTGAACCGTGTAATCAAAATTTAGGAATACTATAATATGACTCAGACTCAATCCTAGCGATATATTAAGGTTGCAGCATAATGTAGCAAACTTGTATCACATAATGAGGCTACACGCTTATAAAAAGTTCATTAATCAAATCAATACTTATTTCATGACTTGTTTAATCTTAAATCCGAAAAAAAATATTATAAATCTAAAAATGAAGTTAAAAATTTAGAATCACACAAAAGTTAAAAGCCTAGAAAAAACTTAAAAATCTGAGTTTAAACTTTTTATTTTGTTAATAAGCATTAGAAATAAAATTAACGCAAAACTACTTTAAAGTAAATTTATAATTCTAATTCACCGGTTCCTATAAGAAATATTTTTAAACATTTAAAAATTTGAAACCAACATTACTTTAGAAAATGCTATTTCAATTAATTAAATAACTGCAGAAACATTAAAGCAAGTAAAACAAGCAAAGATATAGGCACACTTTGCTGTATTTAAATAAATTAAATAAAAATAAATGGTTCAAAAATCATCTTGTTATAATTAAATCCTATTTAGTAAACAATACTTAATATAGGTTATATGCCTTAAATTGTTGACAAACAGTGTTGCTAGATTAACGTACCTGAGTCAATAGACAGAGGGCCGGTTTAATAGACAGACCGAAGATAGTGTTCTTCTGGGTTCAAGGAAAAGAATGACTACAATTTTGAACGAGATATTTCTTGACTATCGAGCCAAAGTTTCCGCATGGTTAGAGCCTGCTCGTCTCTATCTTTCCTGACCCGAAAGCCTGTTCATTTTGTTTCAGTTTTGAAGTTGTTGCCTCTTTTAGATCTTTCTTTTGTTTTTGGGGCCTGTAGGCTTTGAAGGTCACCCACTGAATGTGTTACACAGTGGCTTGAGTCTTTGACTTCGGATTTATCAATGTCAAGAACGTGCCAATGATGTGACGACAGTTACCTGGAGACTCCGTTACTGGATTATGTAATTAATTTTTTTCTTCCATGTAGGAATAAAAGAATGTTCAACTGCAATGCAACCAAATTTTCCTAGAGACTTCGTTCCTAGATTATGAAATTGATTTCTTTTATATAGGAATAAAAGAATGAACAAATTTCAATATTATCCTATATTATGAAATTGATTTTTTTCGTATAGGAATAAAAGAATGTGCAAATTTCAATATTATTCTAGATTATGAAATTGATTTCTTTTATATAGGAATAGAAATATATATAGAATAATATATTTGTTTTATATTATTCTAGATTATGAAATTAATTTCTTTTATATAGGAATAAAAGAATGTACAAATTTCAACAATATCCTAGATTGTGAAATTGATTTCTTTTATATAGGAATAAAAGAATGAACAAATTTCAATATTATCTTATATTATAAAATTGATTTCTTTCGTATAGGAATAAAAGAATGTGCAAATTTCAATATTATTCTAGATTATGAAATTGATTTCTTTTATATAGGAATAGAAATATGTATAGAATAATATATTTCTTTTATATTATTCTAGATCAGGGGTCGCCAAACTTCTTTGATTATCGACCCCTATATAATTTTTCGAAATCTCCATCGACCCCCGCAAAAGTAATTTTCTGTTAATTGAAATAAAACTCTATTAGATGCTATGTTTGTACATTTATTNCCCCTATATAATTTTTCGAAATCTCCATCGACCCCCGCAAAAGTAATTTTCTGTTAATTAAAATAAAACTCTATTAGATGCTATGTTTATACATTTATTTTATGATTTTAAACATTTATTAAAGTCCTTCCGTTTATAATGGTCTGANCTTTTTATGTGATTGTTATGATTTGTAAGGGGCAGCATCTAATCTCTTTTGTGTACTTGTAAATTTTATTTACCAATTTTTCTTTCTTCTTATTTCTGGCATCAAGTCTAGCTCGAGCTTGTAAAGTAAAAATCTTGAGAGATTTAAATCCTTCGTCAACAATAGATAACTAATCTTTAATTTAAAAAAAAAATTACAAAAAGGCATTTGAAATTTCAATTACTTACGAAACAATTTGAATTTTAAGAAAATAAATCTCGTAATATCATTTATCATTAAAAATGACCCATTCATCACATCAAATTTCAACTCCATAGTTGCATTTCATCGAAATCGTTCTAGATTTTGAAATTGATTTCTTTTATATAGGAATAAAGGAATGTGCAAATTTCAATATTTTCCCATATTATGATATTGATTTCCTTTATATAGGAATAAAAGAACGCGCAAATTTCAATATTATTCTAGATTATGAAATTGATTTCTTTTATATAGGAATAAAAGAATGCGCAAATTTCAATATTATTCTAGATTATGAAATTGATTTCTTTTATATAAGAATAAAAGAATGTGCAAATTTCAATATTATCCTAGATTATGAAATTGATTTCTTTTATATAGGAATAGAAATATGTATAGAATAACATATTTCTTTTATATTATTCTAGATTATGAAATTGATTTCTTTTATATAGGAATAAAGAATGTGCAAATTTCAATATTTTTCCACATTATGAAATTGATTTCTTTTATATAGGAATGAAAGAATGTGCGAATTTCAATACTATTCTAGATTTTGAAATTGATTTCTTTTATATAGGAATAAAGGAATGTGCAAATTTCAATATTAATTATATTATGATATTTATTTCTCTTATATAGGAATAAAAGAAGGTGCAAATTTTAATATTATTCTGGATTATGAAATTGATTTCTTTTATATAGGAATAAAAGAATGTGCAAATTTCAATATTATCCTAGATTAGGAAATTGATTTCTTTTATATAGGAATAAAAGAATGTGCAAATTTCAATATTATTCTAGATTATTAAATTGATTTCTTTTATATAGGAATAGAAATATGCATAGAATAATATATTTCTTTTATTTTATTCTAGATTATGAAATTGATTTCTTTTATATAGGAATAAAAGAATGTACGAATTTCAATATTATTCTAGATTTTGAAATTGATTTCTTTTATATAGGAATAAAGGAATGAACAAATTTCAATATTATCCTATATTAGGAAATTGATTTTTTTCATGTAGGAATAAAAGAATGTGCAAATTTCAATATTATTCTAGATTATGAAATTGATTTCTTTTATATAGGAATTGAAATATGTATAGAATAATATATTTCATTTATATTATTCTAGATTATGAAATTGATTTCTTTTATATAGGAATAAAAGAATGTGCAAATTTCAATATTTTTCCAGATTATGAAATTGATTTCTATTATATATATATAGGAATAAAAGAATGTGCAAATTTCAATATTATCCTAGATTATGAAATTAATTTATCATTCATGTAGGGATAAGGGAATATGTTAACTGCAAAGTGTCGTCAATTGCTTGGGGACTTGGTTCATAGATAATTTAATTAATTTACCTTTCATATAAAAGAAAACGCATGTTAAATTTGAATGCAATGTTAGTTTCCGAAAAATTCCGTTCTTAAATTATGATATAAATTTATTTTTTATGTTTGAATAAAAGAATCTTTAACTTGAATGTGATAACTTCCAAGAGACATTGTTTTTATTTTCAGAGAAAAAATTATCCAAAATAATTATATAAAGAAATAATTACGGGAATAAAATAATTTTAAACTTCAATGTAATGAGAATTTCCTAAAAACTTCGTTCTTAGGTTGGGAAGTTAATTAACCTTTTATGTATGAGTAAAGCAATTTGAAACTTCAACGTGATGACAATCTCTTAGAGACTTAGTTCTTATGATATATTAATTTATCTTTCACTTATGTATAAAGGAATGTTAAATTTCAATGATGTGACAATTTCCTAGATTCTTTGTTTTTAGGTTATGCAATAAAGTTATCTTTCAAATATGAATAAAAGGATGCTAAGCTTAGCTTCAATGTGACAAAAATTTAATATGGAATCTGTTTCTAAATTATGAAATAAATTTATCTTTCATGCATGTATAAATGAAACTTTTTAATGAGATAACAATTATCTGAGAACTTGATTCCTAGATTATGGAACTAATTTATTTTCCATACGAATTTAAAGAAACATTAAACAATATGATATTATAAGTCGGAGAGATTTTTTGCTAAATCATGAAATTAATTTATCTTTTTTGTATGAATAAAGGAATGTTTAACTACCATGTGATGACTAATTCTTAGAAAACCTGTTCCTAGATTAAATTTTGTTTTTTACTTTTCATGTTGAAATTAAATGGTAATAAAGGGATTTTACACAACTTTTTTCTAAGATTAGAAAATTAATCTATTTTTTAAATATCGGAAACTTTAATTGACTATCACAGGATCTATTTGCGCATAACTGTTACCCCTTTGACCACCTTGTCTGCGCACTCTTGCTAAAATGGAAGCTATTTTATAAAATTTTATATTGGTTTAAAAAAAAAGTTAAACACAAATTTAATATTTTCTAGATACTTCCTGATATTTCTGATAATCCTTATACATTTTTTATTTTCTGGATATAAGGCTTGAAATTAAATATTTTACAATCTTGAATATTTTAAGCTAAATTTTTCTGTTATTATTAATAAATTAAATTTTTTTGCTTAGCAATAAATAAAATGTTAAAAATAATGATCATAAATTAAACAAAAAACAGCTTCAAGAAAGAATTCTCAAGCCGGGTATTTTGATAAAATTGACATCTTCTTACAAGCTCCAGGAACTAAGTACACTTTTTTAGACGTAAAGTAAGACAACTTTACACCCACCTGCTAATTTTTTTTTGTGCATTCTTTTATATTTATTCCATTTAAGTAAGCATCCCGTTTTTGACATAGATATATTTTTCTTTCCCTCATCTTTCTTGTGGAGTTAAAAAAAAATTTTTTTAATTTTTAATTTTACGTTCCTTAGGTAGGAGCTTGGTGTAGAGATTTAAAACCCAGTTACGAGATCAAGGTTATGAAGTGGAAAATTGGTAATGTATAAGATTAAACTTTTTTAAAATTTTGTTTATCGTTAAAATTTGGAATTAAATATTATTTCAAAGCTCTTCTAATTTAATCTTTTTATTGTTAGAATATAGGATAAATCTTAGGATAAATCTTTCATTATAAAATCAGCATTTTATTTTATCGAGTAGGAAGCTCTGCTCACTAGCCCCCATGGTGAGCTTTCATCTCCACTCAACAGCATCTAATCTCTTTCCCTTATTTTTCATATTTATTTATTAATTTATTTGTAACTTTTGACATCAAGTCAAGCGTGAGGCTATAAAAAGAAAATCTCGAGAGGGATAAAATTTTGAACAACAATGGATATATATTCATTATTTAAAGCAAAGAAAAAAAAACAAATTGGATAATTCATGAAAAAGCACTTAAACCTGATATTATAACTTTCGAAAAAACTCGTGTTAAGTTTATAATTGAAAACAGTCGTTTACAGTACCTCAAACTTCAACTCCATACTTGCATTTCATCGAAATCGACCAACATACCTGTATTTTAATTACTACCAGTTTAACAGTTAATAATTCTCGAACTAAAATTCCAATCTTAAGTTTTTTTTGATTCTATCAAACTCTTTTTAAATTTTTCTAAAAAAACAAAAATCAAAATTTAGAATTAAAAAAAAAATCGAAAAAAATTCCAAAAAAGAACTTAAAATTGCAATTACTTTCAAATAAATTATAATTTCAAATATAACTCGATTTTATTTTGAATTTTCGTTCGCTTTTTTATTTAATCTTTAGTTTTTGATTATCGTTTTATTTTTGTCAAATATATATTAAGTGATAAAAGTTTGTCTGAATTTTAGAAGTGTAGAGTTTTCGTTTTATTAGCCTTGATTAATGTACTGTGTGAAATTTTTTATATTAAGCTTATTTTTTAATTTTACGATTTTGATTTCCACTTATTTTGGATAATTTAGAGACCACTACTTTCAAGAGCCTAACCTAAGACCTATATATATATATATATATATATATATATATATATATACACTCTATAACAAAAAAATCGACGNTTTTTATTTTTTTTTTTTTTTTTTTTTTTTTTTTTTAAATAAAATGTTTGTTGTTTTTTTTTACTTATTATTTCCCACCCCCTTTTTTTCATATGTCTATATTTTTTCTTTGTTTTATTCTTCATTTTGAACTTATATATATATATATATATATAGCGGCTAAAACCAAATTTGCTTCATTTTAATTTAGATATTCAAACAAACATTTAAAGCTGGAAATAATAAAAAGCAATAAAATAAAAGATATGTGTGTCTGTAGGACAGCACTTCTTCGGGGGGACACACTGCCTACAAACACACTGGGGGCTTTCCGTTGTCAGTGGAAAAACCAAAACTGACAGTGCCTAATAATTCTTAATTATTCAAATAGAAATAATTGAAATATTTAAGAAAAAGTTTTGAATATTTATTGCAAAAACGTAGATGTATAATTGAGTACTTACAAATCGAGAAGAAGTTAAGCGATTATGCCCAACCATGTGATTTAAATCAAATTTAATTTGATTCCTTCAAGCGACGTCATGAGTGTATGTCGACCCTGGTTGGCTTCTGAATTGACAAATAGCACGATTTATCCACTATAAATTATTTTCAATTATTTAAGAAATTAATTATCTAGTTTAACTAACACGTTGCCTACCACAGATCTAGAAATGTGGTGGAGCTGCCCGGGGCAAACGTTCCACTTGCCCACATTAGACGCTTCTGAATATCAACAATATCAGCAAATGGAGTAGATGTTAAAAATAGTTATTGAAGGTTTTGTTTGCATTACATTTTTCTGATTAAAATAAGAGATACAAATTCGCCCGTTTTCCGAAAACCGAAAAACCGTTCCTATGTGTTTACCCGAGCATGCAAGCAATTTTACGCGCATTTGTAAACCTGTTTCTACACAGTTATTTAAAGATAAAAAATCATTATTTTCTCCGAACTGGAACTTCTTGTTGATATTTCTTAACTATGCAAAATACTGTCTACCAGCAAACAAAATGTAAGTTGATCGTCTAATTTCCTCTTCAAAACTGAAGGAGAGGGGTGACCCGAGACAGAAATATGTAATTTATAACCGAACAATAGGAGAACTATAAGGAAATCTAAAGAGGAGGATTAACTTCGGCAATTGTCTTTGGAGAGACGGAATCTGTGACCTTGTTGCTTTTCAGAAGAACAAGAAACGGAGAACACATAATATCCATGCTGAATTCCCGTTCTTGATGAGGTCTCGTGTGTCTTCCATGTTGTTAGATGTAGATTGTCGTCAGGAGAAAAAAAGATAATCTAACAGTATTGGTGGAATGACATAAGATAATTTGTTTTCCTTTTATTTTGTTGTTTTGCCACTGAGTCGGGTCGTTCATTTAATGATAGTCATTATCGGCAGATTTGTTACATTTATGAGATCTATATTGAGTTTTAATGGTATATTCAGTTGAAAAAGTGTAGAATAAAATTTTGTAAATATAGAATCTTTACATTATAAGTAGCTGATAGTTGTGGTTTCGAGCTTTATTTTATTTTAATTAAATTGGGTTTAAAGCTGCATTATCAGATCGTTTATTTAATGATATTTATTGTCAATGGATTTGTTACAATGCGATCTATAATAGGAGTTATTCTATAATTTGAATTTTGATAGTATTTTCGGTTGAAAAATTACAAAATAAATTTTATTTACTTTTATGTGAAGCTGGTAAGACAGATTTTGAGTCTTATTTTATGTTCTGCCCGTCTATGGTGACCAACTGGTCCACCTAAACGAATTCACCGTTTTGCGGTTTCAAGCTTGTTCTTGTTGCCTTCGGCTCCACAGCTCTGAGTACTCGATATTACTATTTTAAGGACAAATGGAAGGGTTAGAAATCTCAATTTACTTTTCGAGGTGTAATGACACTAAAGCCGGAAATAGATATGCAATGTTGCAAATGCCGGGTGGAAATTACTGGAAACATATTGTTTATCATAATTGTCAATAAGTTCAATTACTCAAATTACTTTCATAATTGCAAAATATCAAAATGAGTTTTTTTCTTTTTAGTCTTTTATACGGCTTATAAATATCCCATGGTTTAAATCTTCTATCTTGATAAAAACGTGAATAAAGCAGAAATGAAAGCACAGAAGTTGACATACTGTAGTTTCGGTTTTATAAACAAGAACGTTCCTCCGTATCTAAACAACAAATAATGGTAGAGAAGTAAAGAGACAAACACAACAGAGTGGTTTAGCTAATAGAGATAGCGGAACAAGTTTGAACCACATAATTAAAAAGGGGATAAGAAAAAGGTGTACTGGGATTTGGCGGGAACCCCATGGTGCAACAGATTGAATTAGAATAGACTACTGAATATTGAAAACGGTGGTATACTAGAAAGATCATTAACTAAATTATGAAAATTTTGTCAAAAAATGGAATGCTTCCCAAAAATCAAGTTCAGTAAATGAAAAGTAGTGTTGAATGATTTTATCAGTAGGAAACTCAAACGTGTAACTAGTATTCCAAGTACGTAGAGCGATGGAAGATCGGTTGATGCCCTATTACGATTATTATATTAAGCTGCGTTTTTAATATGCATTAAGTGTGCTAAATGTGTTAATATTCGTATCAAAATACCTACTGTAGATACTGTGGAAAGATATTTTTTACGATCTAGGGAAAGGGATAAGTACTAGAGAAAATTGTTGATTATGATATTTTTGTACTTTGTGTTAACCTCGAGCAATAGCATTATGATAAATGAAACTGAACATAATTAATCTTTATATTGATGGGATGGGCTTCTAAAAAGATGCTTTGCTTCATACATTAACGTTAAGCAACTGGGAAGAGCTACAAATAATATAAAAAAATGGAATAATTTTAGGCCGACTTTTATTACTTTTGCCGACACAATTAATTGTGTCGGTACATGCCTTTCAGTTTCGGGCATGATTTCATTTTGTTGATCAATATCGATTTATTGATTATTTTGCTTTTTTACACACCGTATAAAGAGCGGGTATTCAGTTAGCGTTTAAATACTTTTGGTAATTAGTACTTGCAACCCGAAAAGAAGTGAAGTGATTATACCTAACCCTGCGATTTAATTCTGATTTGATCGGATAACTGTAACAAAATCACCTTCGGTTCACTTGGAGGTAACCTATTATCAACATGGATAGTGTTATTACGTCACTGAATTAGTATTTCTAAAATTATCCGAAACCATACATTATTTCTTATAGTTGTGATTTTTCTAATTTATTTTTATAAAATTAAATAAATTAAAATCCAAGGTAATTGAAATAAATGAAAATTTACATGCTAAAATGAGAAGTTAATGAATAAAACGTACTAGCTGGTTTGTTTTTGGAACCGAAAGAGAGCACCATAGTATTATTGGTGCCAATTATGCTTAGATAATTTTTAGTTAGTGCAGCTGGAATTATGCTAATTAGTGATGTTTTAATTGGCACTAATCATACTAATATAGGTAATACTGCAGACACTGCGGTTATAGGATTTTTTTTTACTGTGCACCGACCAACTTCGACTCCGATTAAACCACAATTAAAATTTCTACCGAATACCAGGAAAGCGCTACGATATCGTCTCTTATAAAAAATTTTGCAACGTTACTCAATTATCAATCCTTATTTGTTAATGTAATCGTAAAAACCTCTATTTTTAGTTTTCTTTTCTATCTATTCTACTGGAAACAGAGTATATATTTTGATTTATATAAGTTTTTCTCTCTAGTTGCATGATTGCTGCATTATTTATTGTTGCAATAATTATTAATTTAATTGTTGATTCAATCATAAAACTTCTAGTCTCTTAGTTTTCTACCCTAACTATTCCACTGGAAAGTTGATAACTTGATAAGTATAGGTTTTTCTCTCTAGTTGTATGCTATACAAATACACTTGACCTTAATTAGTAGTCATAATAAAAACATAGTCCGAAAT